CCCCAAGCACAAGTGCAGCCATCTCCCCCCACCCCCAGTACGACCGAGATCGCACCTGTCATCCCTGCAGGCACCCGTCATCCCGGCACTTGCCCATCATCCCGGCGCGCTGGGGGGTGGGGGGGAGGGGAGAGACGGGCGTGATTGTGCTGGGGGCAGGGAAGGGAGCTGGCTGTGATCTTGGTCGCCACCCAAAGTGGTGTTTGCAACCCAAGTCAAATTTTTTCAGACATTTTTGTTCGTGACCCAATTTGTTCGTGAACCAAGGTGTTTGTGAGCCGAGGTACCACTGTAGTTCCACTCTATTCTACTCAGGCCAGACCTTGCCTTGAATGCTGCGTCCAGTTCTGATTCAGATGAATCTGATGAATTGTAATGAGTTCAGAGAAATGAACAAAGATGACCAGAGGAGCAGAAACTAAATACTACAATGAAAAATGGAAGGAACATTGTATATTTAGCCTTGAGAAGAGAAGAATGGGTGGTGGTGGGGAATATGATAACACTTCTCAAGTTCCTGGAGGGTTGTCACACAGAAGAGGGGCACAACATGTTCTCTTTCATCCAAGGGACCAGGACACTAAATAGCAGACTTATCTTAGAGGAAGGCAAATTCTGGGATAACAGAATTTAGTCTGAGCAGTCAGGCACCCTGCTTAGAAGGGTATTGAGCTCTTTATTTGGAGAATTGCATAAAAAATGGAGAGTCATCCATCAGGGATGCTTTAAACTGGATTTCTGGACCTGATGGCTTAAATGTTCCCTTCCAACTGGGTGGTTTTATGTCTTGTATTATATTCTTGATTTACTGCTACTGAGCTATTCTTTTCTTTTTTTAAAATATTTTTTGTTGATTAGTGGCAAGAACCATAACATGTTGAAGTAGTTCACTGAAAGTTTTTGAATTCACATAGATTGCAGTATGCCTACAAAAATAATGCTTAAAGAAAAGGAGCTTCCAATGTTTTCTTGAGACGGCCTGTAGCAGAGGTGATGTCAGGGGGTGGAGCCCCAAATCTCTTGGGAGACCATCTGCCCCACCACCTTGCTGTCTAAAGGCACTTGTTGAAATAAAGATAGAGGGCACCCTATGATCTCTTTTGCAGCTGATCCCCTAGATTAGCTGGGTTTTTTGCATATATGTACTTCACCTCCTGCTGCCCTTTTTTGAATCTTTCTGCTTGATATTTTTCTGAAATCAAATATTCTCCTCTCAACTGTTCATACATCTCTTTTCACAAAAAGACTTAGACAGGGTTATTTAAGGACTGACACACAAACACACAAGAGTGTGTCGTATGCACATGTGGTCCTGACCCACAGATCTTTTTGGCACCTAGGAAAGTCTTTGAACTGCAGACTAAATAAACTGCCCCCTACAATTTTGGCACACACAGCACATTTTTTTAACTTACTGAAGGCCTGGTTTGCAAATGTCAGGAGAAGCTACAGTGACTGCCTGCCATTTACAACGATGCACAGCACATGCCATAACCCACCATGCCACCAAACATGTGATCTGAGTCAGTAAATTTGTCCCAGGTCTAACTTACTTTCAGCAGGTGTTCATGTGGTTGCATATTCCATGATACAAAAACAGAGAATACTAGTATCTTTAGGAAAAGGCTAGGCTAGTGCTGGGAGTGAGAAAGACGGCTGCTGTGGGTGCAGATTCTCCAGGGTTGCTGGCTGGTCTCCAGAAGAATCAGAATCAGAAAAAAAGGTGAGATGTACAAGAGGAGCTGTTGGGAACTGGGTTTCCTCCTTTGTACATTCAAAGCCACAGAGCTTTTCTTGCAAAGTGTTCTTTATTGCCCAAAGCTCACAAAACCCTGAATTAATCTCCGAGCATGCACAGAGTGGCTTGTTGAACCTAATCTAGCATTCATCTCCAGGAACTCTTCTTATGAGCAGGCCTGGTGCCCATCCCTTCGGGAGAGGCCTTCTGAAAACAAGCACACCTCCTCGCTGCATGCCAATCCTCTAACTGGGCCGGCCTCCTCTGCTGACAACATAACATGGGGTCTAGAGCCAGGGCTGTCTTGTTTGTGTCTGAGAAACTCCCCTGCCGTAAGTCTCCTTCCATCAACTGTACATCCTGGTTATTCCCAGAGACTGTCTGCCCACCTGGGGAGTCTGGCCTTGAGATGTCACTCCTCTTATCTAAAAGTCTTGGGATGGCCCACATTCCCAGGCCCCTTCCTGCTCCTCTCCCTGTTCATCTTCTGATTCTGATTATTCTGGAGGTCAGCCAGCAGTCCTGGAGATGTGCACCCAAAGCAGCCATCTTTCTCACACCCAATGTTGTAATCTCTCTCTCTCACATCTAGTTTTCTATATGGAAGTTTTTTTCCGGGTTAATACTTCTCCACATGAAGTACATGAGTCCCTGTCTATGACTTGAAATGAAGTAATCTAGATACAGACTTAACTGAGTGTGCCTTAAAGCCTAACATAGCTCACAGTGTTGCTGAGAATTAAAAATGAGGTATGAGGAGTTAAATGTTATTTTAAATTCCTGATTCAATAATCATATTTAATATTTATTTGTTGGCATTTCATGTTCTTGTAATGTGTCAAGATAAAGCAGTTCTCCTAAAAAAGGAGATCCAGAATTACACTTCCAATAATAATAATACCATATATTTTGTATTGCTACTACACAGAATATGGAAAAGATTAACTCTCTGATCCCGAAGGGCTTGCAGTTTACTTTGGATAGTAAGGCCTGGAAAAGGAGGAAGACGTCTGGGGATAAGAACCTGGCAGTCACAGGATATGGGTGGAACACCAGGGAAGGAGAGGCCAGGAGGTCTCAGGGAACTTTGCTACTACTTGGACTTTTGAGAACCTATTCCTAGCTGGGAAAGGGAAATGGAAAAGGGAAGCACAGCAGGAGGAGGAGAGAACTACTATTTTCCTGGGAAAAGAGCAGGAGGTCTTCAACAAAGCATGGTTTAGGAAATACTGGAATTTATTTCTTATGGAGGGCAACAGCAGACAGAAAAGGTGAGCAAAGGAACATGAAACATTGTGAACTGTTGACATGGCAGCAGGAAGTGGCATGGAATAACATGAACAGAGATTGTGCTTTACAACATCATGAGCTAGCTTTGTAGATGATTAACTCAGTCCAGGCCAACTATTATTTAGAATCCTTTGTTTATTGGTGATGGGCTCCACAAGCAATGCCAGTCATTCAAAAGATTCCTGTGGGGTTACAGTCAGGTGACTGGAAAATGCAACATTTCACTGAGAATAGATGGAGGGGAAGAACTACCCAACCTACATCGTGGTATTTCCCAACTTTGGTGTAAATTCTGGGAGAGTTTGTAACTGCTCTTACTTGTAAAGAAAGGTCCATTTCTTTGACCCTGGAATTGACTCTAAAACTCATGAAGGTGGTGGTGATGTTTTTGAAATTTCAGGTATTTCTCCTCTGGATCAGGGGAGGTTCTGGAACCTTATGTAGCAAAGGCATAATCTGCATAAAATAAATGGAATTGTTTGCCCTTGACCTCAGTGGAATGTTGAATATACCCACATGTTTATAGCCCTCATGGTTTTGGAGAAAGACAAGACCTTCTGTTCTCTGTATGGTTTCTGTCACTCCCCCACTTTGTCCCTCTTTTCCTTGTAATCTGTTTTCTCTATGTCTTAATTGCTGCTTCCTTATTAAGACATTGTTTCCTGCCACCAGACACATCTTTAAAAAAACAAACCAACCAAAATCCACTGTTATCGCCTGAACAAACTCATTTATCATTTCCTAAGTTGTTAAGAAGATGGGGGTGGGGGAAGATCTCAGCAGAAACCAATGAGCAACCTTTTGCAAACCTAAAAAGAGGGAAACGCCTCATGGAGAATAGGAGGTAGTTTGCTTTGCAGACAAGCCAGCAAAGAGTTAGTAATAACTCAGCACAGTAAATCAACAGTTTCTCAGAGCGGTGTAATCCTTCGCTTGTAAATGATGCAGAATCCACAGCCTGTGAGTCAGCAGACAGATGGACATGGTTATTAGAGGCACTGGCACAGGAAGGGAAGAAATTATACAGATGAGCAAGGGGTTACCAGAGACTCTGGAATGCTCTCTTTCCCTCACACCTTAACATTTGTCTGGCTGAAACTTGTACAAATCATTGCAGGTAATTTGGTCCACTGGCTACAGCACTGTGTGATGTGGGAATCCTTGGTTAAGATCCCCACATAAGGACTCACAGTTCCTCATCTGAGCAATGGAAATGTCTCAGCTTCTTGTTCAGCACAGTGCAGATGATTCACATTGCTGGATTCACACTGAATGCCTATCTGTAATGTACCGCCTTTGGAAAGACCAAAAGTTGCTGAGTTTGGTTTCTTGGCAAATCACCGCTGCACATGGGTGAGGGGGCACCAATTATTATCATAAAAAACTTTATGTAAAGTCTGTATGTGGGTCATAGTGTCAGCATGGATTTGAGTGTGAATAGTATTTCTGTCCTGCACCTGTTGATTGCATAAGTATTGATAATAACTTCAGATAATAACTTCAGATAACAACAAAGTACACATTAGAAGTAAAATCTTTCATCTTTGCATATTTCTTGCTTGTTTGTGAGTTTGCATAATTTCTTGATAATGCTTCTTAAAATGCTTCTTAAAATTATAAGCATTTTAAGAGGTTTTAGAAGCCCAGCCCTGCCCTTCCTTTCATGGCCACAGGTTCCTCAGGAAGGAGTAAGCAAGGGGAAATGCATAAGATTCTGTGTAATGGTGTGGGTACCAGGAAACTTTATGAACTTCTGAAAACAAATCTAAATCTAAGTTATCACTGTGTGGGAGGATTGAGAAATGGCAGAGTCCCAGCGGGCAAACTGGCTGGCTAAATTGCCATCAGATTTCAAAGGCCATCTAAACCAATGGGTGGGAAAGACCTTGTTGACTGTTTTATCACCTTCAGTGGCCAGTGAAAATGACACTTGGAGCTGCAGTCCAATTTGTGCCTGCTTTGTGTCTTTCAGGGAGTAATATCTGTGCTACACGTGGAGTGAACTCATGTCAACAGTGCTTGGCTGTGAGTCCAAGTTGTGCCTGGTGTAACGAGAAGGTAAGGCAATGCTTGTCCCCTTTTCCATTTTTACTTGTACTTCTTGAATGAAACTCAAGTTTTTTCTCCACACTAGCTGAAAACAAGGTTTACAATTTCTGTGTTTAATGAACTGGTCATTCCTTGGTTGTGAACCCCTGATCTATCTTATTTAAGTATTTATATCCCACATTTCTGTTTCTAATTGAAATGCCCAAGATAGCTAAAGTAAACGCACAATAGAAGCATATGTCATGGAAACTTAGAGGGAACCTACATAAGAACTGTAGTGTTTCCCATAAACAAGAAAACATTTGATTCTACCCAAATACAACTAAATGTAGTGCCACCCAGTGACTAAAGTATTTAATCTCACTATCAACACACAGTAATATTATTAAAAAATTGAAAACACACCAACTTGAACAGAAAACAAAGTAATGAGAGAGCCATATACAATACATTCAGAGACTTGCCAAACTGAAGTCCCGCTGGAACAAAAAAGTATTTAGTTAGTGTTAGAATGAAATCAGGAGGACTCTAGACAGAATTTCTAGGGCAAAGGTCCTTAGGTGAGTTGCTGTGGCATCATAGAATGCTCACATTCTAAATGCTGACAAGTCACAGAATGTTGAAGTGAACCACATACAGTCCTTTCAGTTCTCACATGACCTAGATCTGTGTGGTGACCCATCACCATGGGAATTTCTCACCAACCGGCACATCTTCATTATTACCTTTTCAGATGGTGCCATTAGATCATCTTTTTTAAAAGCAGTATTTCAATTAATGCTAGAACATTATTTCATATGTATCTGTACCTCAAATATGTGTACAGTAGTGCTTAAATGAAATTGTGCAAAGACCATTGTGGTCATTGCCACTTTAGCAGAATGTGTATACAGGAGAAAAAAAATCAGTCCACTGCAATCCCTCTTTTAGCTTGGATAGGAGAACAACAGTTGAATAAAACATAGGCGCTACTGTTCTAGAATTACCCTCACAAGGACAAGGTGGGGAGCAGGGAGGTGCTAAATGCAATGTATGAAGAACATTTCTCTTTTAAATAATTAAAGCCCAATAAACAGTAGAATCATCTTGAAGTATTTGAGGAATGTTTTAAGAACTTATTAAATCCCAAGCAGTAAAATTTGCCAGCAATAGCCTTAACTCGTCAAAAGAAGGAAAAGATTTCTTTAGAAGAGAAGCCAAATATCCCTTTCCTACTTGTTTCCTTAGATCCTTTTAAATATCTCCCAAGGTGTTTTGAATTGATTGATTATGCATCAGAACAACCTTTTCTTGGCAAAGAGAGGTCTACCAACTGTATATTCTGGTCTTCTTACAGAAGGGTGCTCTTTTACCATGATAACTGTAGCCTACGCTGTCAGCTAGCTCTATCTGTGCATCTCCACAAAGCAAGCAGCTGTTTAAAGGCTTTCTCATGAACATAGTTATTAAGATCACTTAGTGAGCACTTCCAACCAATAAGAAAAAAAGTACACCAACTATTTGTTAGAATGCATTAAGGCATTTGGAAGAGCCATGGAAACAAATACTAAGTTTTGGAAGGGGTCATTACATTTCAAAGACCATTAATTGTCATTCTTTAGGAGGAACTGTTTTGTTTGCAACTTTACAATCACTGAGAAGTAAATGGAGACAAACTTCATGAAACGATAGCTTGTTCTTTTTACCAAGCTTCTGCTTATTTATGTGTGTGTGTTAGAGTGCATTTTCTGCTTATATTATCTGGCGGTGAGGGCCAGCAGTCCTAGGAAATGTTGCAAATGACCTGAAAATGACCTCTAGAATGTCCTAGAAACCACATAGTTTGCATTCAATAGTGGATACACAGAAAAGTTGATATGGAAGTTTCCTGAAGAAGACAGAATTTGAAAGCCCTTCTGTGTTTTCTGATTGGTTGTCAGAGGAATGAGGCACGTTTCTTGCATAGGCTAAGGAGGTGGGAAGCAGTTCGTTTCTAAAGAGAGCAGTTCAGGGATGATGAACCCACTTCTGATCTGGAAACACTGCTGTTTAATCCCTAGTGTGGTGGGCTATGTTAGTGAGATTCCTCTGAAAGGTAACAACCATGTTGACAAATAGGTGTGAAGTTAGCAGGGAACCAAGATACCATGTTAGGCTAATTGTGAAAGCGAGCTTTGTTTTCCTCTTTTTCCTTCTCTTCCTCTTCCCATTGCTCACCACCACCTGGTTTTTATACAACCAGTACCACCAAGGTCATGCTTTGTTGGCTCTGCTTCACCACAGATGTTGTAAGCTAGGTGTCTGCATGTGACAAGAACAATAAAAAGCAAGGCAAAAACCCAGAAGGCACATTACTTCTTTAAGATGTAGCTACCAGCTTTCCCTTTTAATGTTTTACCCTAGAGTTACTGAGAAAGACCAGAGAGGGCAGAGCTTGGTCTTGGTAAGCTAATACCATATTGGGGCAGGGGCGCAGCTGTCTGTCTGCCTGTCTCTGGAGATCTGATATGGAATGCTGTCTTTAGCTGTCTCTTGGATTGTTTGTGCCTTCACCTCTGCTTGCCCTATATAAATGCAAATATTATAAAATGCCAGTGAGTTTTTTTCCAAGGGAAAACAAACTTGGTTAAGCCCTTGAGCCTTGAGAATTCTCACTGCTTAGAGATGTAGGCTGAGTGTAACATTACACTCAATAATTATTATAACTATTACACATTTCAAAGGAGGACCCATGCATGGAAACTAAGGATGAACACACTCATGGCATTTCACCATACTGTTTGGTGTTTACAAACCATGGTAAGAAACAACCATTTTTCTGTGGTTTCTCTGTACCACCATGACTTGTCATGTTGTCTTGAACCCAGAAACATAGCTACCTGGTATGCAACTGTCTCAGAGTCCTCTGGAGAGAGTGGCAACTGTAGGACCCACTCCAGACATCCAGCCTTCTCTCTCAAACACCAGACAGTTCTTGCCAAAGCTCTTTATTTCCAGCGTACATTCAGGAAGCTATAGTAAGCAAACCACTCTGAGTATGAGTGGTTCATTGAAGCCAATGTAAGACTATTTCTGAGAACCCTCCTTTTCAGTAACCCTCTGGGTATGCCCCTCTAGAGACAGGCAAGCCTCCAAGCTCTATGCGGCCCCTCTGGCTGGCTATTCCTTGTCTCCTGATGCTGCATCATGAGGTCCAGGAAATGGACCAAGCTCCTCTCCCGTGTTTCCTCCTGACATTTCCATATCCTGTCAGTTCCCAGGGCCTGCCTGAACACTTGAGACAGTGGCCTTGGGATAAGCTTTTCCTTCTCCTCCACTGCCTCTGTATCTGCAGGCCACACTATCCTCATCCAAAGAGTCTGTGCCAACTTGGCCCTGAAATGTGTGCCAAAAATAGCTACCTCTTTCATTCCCAACACTATGTGTGTCCCAGTGAGGAAGAGGCAGGTGACATTGGCTGGGAGAGGTGCACTTTGGGACTGAATTTTTAAGCCGAGATATTACCAGGCTTTTTAATCTTTAATTGTATAAATTGTTATTTATATGTTTTAATTATGTTGTGAGCCGCCCCGAGGCTTTGTTGTGATGGGGGCGGCATAGAAATTTTTTAAATAAATAAATAAAGTGGCTGATGGGTTATGCACCAACAGTGGAGGAGGGCTGAGTGGGGAGGATGGAAACCATGATATGGTAGAAACCACTTGATTGTCAAGTAGATCACACTAAAAAGCTGTAAACCATGGTAAACATGAAGGATTGCTTGTTGTGTTGTGTGAACACAGCCACTCTATCTTTAAGCCAAACTTAATGTCTTGGTGCATGGGTCCTCAAACTATGGCCCATGGGCCGCATGCGGCCCGCCATGCCCATTTATCTGGCCCGCCTGAGGTTTTGGACTTGCCGCGCATGCCACTGCTGCCTTCCTCACCCGGCATGGCCCTGCCACTACCTCGCCACGCACTCAGGGAAGCGGCGACTGGCGATCTCTGAGCGAGCAAGCTGCTGCGTTGTGCGCCCACCACTGCCTCGCCACATGCCCCCACCTCGCCTCGCCGTGCCCCAGCCCATGCCCACCACTGACACCTTTCAACTGGCCCCCTGTTGAAAAAGTTTGAGGGCCCCTGTCTTGGTGTGTGTGGTGGCAACTTACTGCCCCCTAATTTTACCAGCAGCTTGACCTGTGGCTATTTACGGGTGGTAATGCTTATTAACTTCCTTCACTTAACCATTTTTGCTGAAGCTGCAGTTAAAGGCCAAGAAGCAAGTTAGACCTCTCCTGACCACCCTCCATTAGTTTGCAATTCTACCAGGAGATCTGATTCAAAGTAAATTGTGTACTTCACCCTGGGGCAGAATTCTCACTGAAGGGATATTTTCTGTCTGGACTGCAACTTCTTCAGACTTCAGGTGAAAGCTAACCTGCTTGATTGCTGCTCCATATAGTACCACCCACCTCCACACATAAGAAAATAAGCATTTTCCCTGAGATCAGTTTTTCCACATGTAAGGGCTTTTTGTTCATATGCAACATCATCAAACTACACGATCCCCACCTGCAATTTGAACTGATTAGAATGGCCCAGGCTTGGTTTTCCATTTCAGTGAGAAATGGCCCTGTGATAATGCTATAAGAACATGATGAATTAGTTTTTAAATTTTAGTATTCCTTGTGCAGGTAGAAGGAAAATTCAGAGTCCCACATAGGCTTGCCTGATCAATCTGAGACATTTGTCTACCGTCTCAGTGCTTAAGCCTAATATAACTAGCTTCTCAGACAGCCTGGCTGTTATTTATTTGTGGGGGTGTGACAGTTGAACCGCAAGGCCCTGTGCCAGAAATACTTGCCAGTTTTGTGTATAATGTGATGGAGAAAATTTAAACAAATTGGCTCACCCATACCAGTACTGCACTACTTCTCCTGACTTCCACAGCTGCCCAAGCTTTCTGTGTTCCTAGACAGCAGCTATGGCTACAGGCCTGTTTTGCTAAATTGCCTTCCTCTGACGAGTGTTTCCAAAAATGGCAATATT